TTTTATATTGAATTAGGTACCTATATTAATTTTGTCTAGTATTAAAATTACATAATATGTTTTTTTACTGGATATGTCATTAAATAATAATGGGAGTACTTATAACTCTGTCGTCTTAGCGGAATCGAGACTTTCAGGAAAATAAATGTTAAAATTAACCCTTTTGAAATTTTTATTATTTTCACAAGCTTCCACAAACGACCACACTCCAAAAATACTTACATCCAAATTTTATGAAATAGGTTTTGATCGTTTTTTTGATAGTTAGATTAGGGTGGTCCATCCATGGACCTCGGAGCTTTTTTTTGATTCCCCCCTCCCAGAAGACTTTCATTAAAAATGTCGAGATAAGATCGTGAAAGTCAGTCTTATCGCCGCTTAATAACAATGATTGTGAGTTTTCTTAAACGGTGTGAATACTATTCACAATCTCGAGCATTATCTATTTTTCTAGATAAAAAAAAAATATGAATAGTAATATCATATTTTTATTTTGGTGGCGCCGGTACTTTTAAAAAGTGTAAATTGGTACACCAACTACAAAAGGTTGGACCACCCTGACTTAGATATTGAAATGGTATAATCGAAAAGATCATACGAAAGTATCCTCATACCCAACTAATGTCGTAACAACGAAATTTTATTTAATAATTATTACAATGGAGATGTGGCCCAATTATTTTTACACATAAACAAAAATTAAAAACCTGAAAAAATGTTAAAAATAAAACATAAATAAAATCATTATCAACCAATCAATTAAAGATGAAAAGGTTACATCTTCATAGGCAAGTCACGTTCACCTATTGCGCGGAGAACTCAGCTTGTAATATTGATAGAAATTGCAAAAAGGAAATTTGTTCTGGCCGTATGTGAAGACATAAACATTTAGAAGCGGAAGTATTGTGTTTCTAAGTCAACTACACCGGCTACAATTTTACGTACAAACGAGTACATTTGTAATCACGAAATAAGCTTAACTTAATTATTATTTTATTTTTTATTAATTTTGGTGAATTATTCGCATTCAAGTTTCTTGTAACATGTGTAGTACTCTTTCGATCGAGAGATGCGAATACAATTTAGTGTAACCATATGATATTTTTAAATAACGGGATGTGTACCTATATATTTTCTTGTTTTAAGACATACTACATTGAATTGTTTAGGTTTACATAATACTATGATTCGCATATCACATACAACATAGGTAGTACACTAATATTGTTGGATCATCAAGCCTTGAACTAGTTGAACTGTGTTATATTATTATTTACACAGTTGTAATAAAAATAAATCTACTCATGTTGTTAAGTACCGGTTCGTAGAATGTACATAGATTATAAACAGTTATTTAAAACAATATTGGTACTTGGGAAAAAGTCAGTTCAATTATATGAGAAATATTAACATTATTGATAAACGAGTAACAAGTTCTTTGGATAATGATATTCATTAAAAAGGTATTTTTTATAATAAAATTAAAATATTTAGACGTTTAAGGTCTAACATATTTTATTCCACTTGATGATAAATTGGTAACAAGAAGGTATTTACATAATGTATTACAAATATAATTATAAATATTATACAATCAATGCTCCTCCTCTCCATATATTTTACTAGAATTTATACAAATTTCAATAGAAAAATGATTTGAAAAATGTCTCAGCTCGCCACATAACATATTTTATTATGAAAGTGTAATTTCTGTATAGGAATAATATACTATGTCAAACTTAACGTGTAAACCTCTAAAAGTACCTGTAGTTGTATATAATTGTATAATGAAGCGATTTCTATAACAACAACATAATTGTGACAAAGGTACCTACTGATGATACTGCGAGCAACATAATATTTTAACATTATAAAATATGTTCAATGTTCACTGTTACTTATATTAATTGTAGGTCAATGTGGTGGTTGCAAACTCCTCACGACTACTAACTGCAAACACCGTATGCGCTTAATTACTTTTACTTATCGTGCACGATAATAAAACTCGATATTTATTAATTGCTCGTGTAGTACCTAATTATAATTATATTTTACTGCGGTAACAATGAACAAATACAATCGGCATGCTATATAAATATGCGCAATGGGTATTTTTAGACCGATCGTGTTGTGTTTGTGCCTAATGGTGTTTGTGTTTGGTAGGTAAGTAACAACACTGACAATAAGAGTGTTTATCCAAAATGTTTTGAAACTATTTAATCTGTTAAAATCTGCTAACGTATTGATTACAAGGTTCTCGGAAAATTTGATTTATTTTCCTTAAGTATAAACTTTAGCCTTTAATGCAGCTTTACTGCAATAGTGCAGCCACATAGTTTATATTATATCTACTGTATATAATACAATATGTATATACATCTAATAATAATCATTCGGTATAATAATCTGATAAAGGCTAAAGGCGTGTTCATAACATTAAAGTTTTAATTTAACAGATTTGAAATTTTAATCGAACAATAATACTAGTTAGTACCGACTATCGAATTACTACCTACGACCCTATGTCCCTGCCTACGGTTAATGTTTATATTAATTGTTCATATTATTATTTACCATTTTACCTATTGTTACATCGATATGTTTATATCTTTTTATTATTAACACTACTATTTAGTATAAGAAAATTGGTAGAATTGAAGAATAGTAGGTATAACCTAGGCACTTGCATTTATATTTTGATTACAGTAAATATAAAAAAATAATATATTTAACATAATTTATATCAATCTTATATTTTTATCTTAAATAAACTTATAATACTGAACTATATAAAGCTACAACTATATTTTCTTTGACTTGTGTCTAGACATTCTACGAAATAAATTCTTACATTTAATTTAAAAAAAAAATGTATTTAGATAATGTACCTCCTACTTATAATTTGTTTTGCTAATTATGTTGTACCAACTATTAAAATAAAAAGTCAATAGAAAACCACCGTACATTAATAAAATTCCTTATTACACAATAGACTGAACTGGTACAAATCAAATATACCGTTATTCAAACCATCATAAAAAGGTTGTTTGTTAAAAAAAATTAAAAATAGTGTCATTCAAACATTTGTGTATAATATATATTTTATTACTTTATGTTTCTATAAGCAATTCGATTTAAAAATAAGTACAACATTCAAATATTGAATACCTGATGTTGTGGTAGGTACAGGGTATGGGCGTATGACATGGTTCAAAAATCAAGGTTAATTCTTAATTTAATTTTCTATTTTCTATTTTCAATTCAGTAAATTATTGTTTAGCATTACAGTAATTGTTTAATTGTATTATTTTGAATTAATTTTCCAAATGTAAACCTAAAATTATGTTCGTTTAATTGTCAAACTAATAGCCAATATACAGAGGTAGTAGGAATCTACCTACTCTAATTTATAAAATATATAATTATAGGCTCTTTAAAATATCCAACTATTAATCAATTAAATTTATTTCATATTCCGGGTTTTTAAATTACAATATTTCATTTATTACATAATATTTTATTAAATAACTCACTAACCCACACAGCGGCTCCACTTTTTTTTCAATTAAAATTATCAATTTCTCACTTATTATACAGCACAATGTAATGTCAATAACTGATAACAAGTTTAAAATAATATTTCGAAAATATTTCTAACTAGCATTTGTTGTCTCCGTTTAACAAGTGTATGACATCCCTTTAAGTTTGACTATACTTTAAGAGAATAGAAAGGATATTGTTAGCTTTACATATTTTGATAGTTGATTGATTGAATCTTATATTAAAACCAACGAAACTGAACGTAAATTATCTATATACGTGCTTATAAAATGTAAATATTACTTTCTTTACAACCAGGCAGTTGCGTCCATATTAACTAAAGTATAATATTAGTATTAAGCTATAAAGTCTTGTTTCTATACTATTATTAATTTTAAATCAAAAATATTCTGATGATATAAATTGTTTTTGATTATTTAAAAATGGCATCTAATAAATTGTATACCTTTTCTAAATAAAGTTTGCATTTGGGTGTTATCTCAAAAAATAAAAATTAGTCCACCTCTGTATTCAGAAATCGTCGGCTCACTGTTTCGTATTAATATGGAAAATTCCGTTATTGTGTAATGGACAACAAAGTTTTTGTATCACGATCATTAATGGTCACCATGATTTATCCGGTTATTTGTTGACGTGCCTATGAGAATGCGTTATTTAATAAAAAAAATAATAAAACAAATCATTTACGTGATCGGAGACATACGAAGAGACGGAGAGAGCGCAATGAAGAGCGGAAAAGATGAAGAGAGAAGGAAGAATATGATTATTATTATTATACACAAGATAGTTTGTCACTTTAATGGTGTTACACAAAGTGTGTCATAAGGTCATTGTTTATAAGTTACTGCTGTGGACCATTGACCCGCCCGATTATAATTAAGTATTACTGCAAACCTATCACGTCGGCCCATAACAATTTGTCGTTGTATTTTCCCTATCGTTTTTATTATTGTCTTTAAATTCAAATAATTATGTTGCCAAAGATATTTTTGTGGTTTTTTTAATTTCAATGCCATTACAATGGTTTTTCCTTATAGTACTTTATAATTACTTGGATAAGAATTTTCTCTTAGGCTTCATGGTCTTGACACAAAAACACTTAAAAATTAACTACACGAAGAAAAAAGTCGGCTGATCCAAAGTTAGTATTTGTAAACTTGCCTATACAATTCCGTGTTGTTTTCATAAAGTTCTACTTTCTATACATGCATTACACCAACAATATGTAAATATGACTTTGTTCATAAATAACTCCTGCACAATAATCATACAATTTTTTTATTCAACTAAGTAGAAGGTATATAATATGTTTTATTTTTAGACGTGCTTTTATTTGATTTTTAAAATTATTGATGGTAATATTGAATCTACAACAATTATGTCTTAACGATGACATCGTATTTTGCAACTGCTTCGACTTAAGCTATGTTTGGTTTTAGATATTCGGACGATATGTTTGAGTCCAGACTCCAAGTGTACTTTGCTGTCGGACATATTCAATTCAACCCATAGCAACGTTTGAGCACTGTCCCTGATATTCCCGAAAACACAATGACCTACGACACTAGCGGGGTAAAACGCGAGAAGCAGTCGCCGCCGGAAGACAACCACGAATCATGGCAGGCCATGAGCATCATGTCAAAAGCCAAGTTTATGCTGAAACACTGTACGGTGGAGCCTATGTTGGGTTGCTATATAGTGTCCAGCGTGCTGGCGTCACTCGCCACTCAGAATCTGAACTTGCAGAAGGCGTGCAGGGTGAACCTCCGTCTGGACAACGCCACGTGCTCTGCGCTGGAGAGTCGGACGATGGACAACTACACGAAGGAAGACGAGGTGGTGGTTCAAGAGCTTGTGGCTGATATGATAATATGGAAGACGATTGTGCAAAGCAGCATACCGTCGGTGCTGATAATATTCATCGGGTCGTGGAGCGACCGGAACCACAAGCGGAAGCCGTGCATGCTGATACCAATTATCGGTGAATTCCTCACCAGCATCGGCCTGTTGGTCTGTACTTACTACTTTTACGATCTCCCGATGGAGGTGGCCGGGCTCGTGGAGTCCGTACCGCCGGCTATGACTGGCGGATGGATGACCATGTTCATGGCCGTGTTCAGCTATGTCGGAGACGTGACTACGGTTAGTATAAAAATACAAGTGCCTATATATACTCCTAAGCTATACCTTAGGTTCTAACCTATCACAGTCTTGTCAATAATGCGAGTTTCCCGATTAGTCCTGTTTTTGAATATCATGATATTGCAAAGCGTAAATCTTAGAGTTTTCATTTACTCGTGGAGTTATATTTTATAATTCACGGCTATTCACTGATTTCTAATCGAAAATGCATACAAAGTAGTGTTTCCACTGCAGAGATCCATTTTTTTAAATGAGAACACTTTTTTTAATTTGTTCATTTTTATTTTTTAGGTGAAAATGCGCACGTTAAGAATCGGTATAGTGAACGTTTTCTGTTCTGTAGGTGTGCCCATTGGTACCGCATTATCTGGTGTACTGTTCCGAGAACTTGGATTTTATGGCGTATACATCATAGCCACAGTATTGTACATATTTGCTTTTGTATATGGCATGGTTTTCATCAAAGAAACGAAACCAGAGATCAGTATTGAGAGCAAAGAGCCACCAAGGGACACGTCCTGTGTGGATTTCCTCAGAGATTTTTTCAGCCTGAGTCATATTAAAGAGGCCGTTCGAGTAACATTTAAAGAAGGACAATACAACCGAAGACTAAGAATTATTGCTTTAATGGTTGTCGTCATTGTCGTAATGGGCCCTTTGCACGGTTAGTAAATCCAAATAAAAAATTTACATGCTTGAACGTATTATTATTATTATTTTTTTGTATTGAGTGAACATTTTTTTTCTTATTTTACTCGTTTAATCGACCTTGAAATTTGTAAAGGTGACGGCTTGATAATAGATTGTTTTATTAAGTTGATAGGCATAAAAATGCCGGATATAAATTGTGTAAACCCTAGACTATAAGTAATATCAACCTCTCTTATATGAAATGCAAATGAAATGCATATCTAATCATACACTTCTGTCTATGATTCATATACATAACACTTAAATATTTTTTTTTTTTTGATAAACATTTTTTATGTTACCCTCTCGAATAACCACTAGATAGGTTATTAACCCGTTAAATTGCACTATTGATTCATTTTTCCATCGAGTATCATTCAAATTAAAAATAAATACATTCCCATATATTTCTTAAGTGAACCTAGCATTCTGTAGTTTTACTCACGAGTACCTAATACATTAATTTAGTAGTACAGTGGGTATAACTAATTTTACACAAATTTTTGCTTTTTTTCAATAAACCTTATTCTACTTTTCTAGTGTATACTAAAAATGATAAATATTAATTTAATGGAAATATGTGCAATTACCTGGAGGTTATTTTTAAGTCAAAGTTACTCAATAATATGAAATTATAGCTTCTTTATTATATTATGCCATCATTACGGATGTTTTTAAAATAGAAAAATTCTCGCTATAGGAGAAAGTGAGAAAGACAATGGCAATGAAAAATTAAAATGTTAACAACGTAATTGTTTTAATCACGATGACCTTCGACTCCGTAACAAAGCTTTTTAATTTTGTTGAAAACTTATAATTTACAATTGAAATACTCATTGCTGTCTGTTCATATATAAATGGGTTTAAATAGTTATTGCTTATGATAAATTTTGTTTTACAATATCAATGCCACCGAAAAACAATTTTTTCTCTTCTCAAGTAAGTAAATATAATTCGAATTCAATTGAGTATACAATAGTTTGTACTTACACTTAAGCTAGGTATATAACTATACAATTTATAACTCAGTTTGTCAGTGGCATTAATACGTATGAATTCTGTCGTTCAAATAAGAGCCAAATATAATCTTGGACAGTTGGATAATACGGCAAACGTTGACCATAGACTATAAATATAAATTCGAACATAATATTATGTCAATGAACAAATATTTCTTTAAAATGTATTCAAATATTAATTCATCGTATTATTATTACTTTTAATATTTACTGCTACTATTACTAGTAATGTACTAATAATAAAAATACTGAGCCCCGCAAAAATTTAACATTGTAAAATATTATTTGCAATTAAATAATTTTATATTATATCGTACTAACTACCAAGAGTAAATACTAAATATAAATACTTGGTCTGTGATTCAACGGTTCAACATAGTAAAAAATATAACATAATATTTTGCAGGTGAAATGTCCGTGATGTATCTGTTTACACGTGTAAGATTCAATTGGGACGAAGTGAACTACAGTATGTTTTCCACGTATTCGATGATTACTAATCTTGTAGGTTCGTCAACATTTATACATTCAAGTTTCAACTTTTTAGTATTGTTTCATTAGTAAAAATATATTCGTGATTTGTTTTGATTTTTCATCTGAACAGGTACAATGTTTTCGGTCGGGGTATTCAGTCACATGTTGCAAATCGACGACGCCTTAATCGGAGTTATATCATGTATGAGCAAAATATTGGCCGGATTTGTTTACGCGTTTGCCACAACGGATTTTGTATTTTATTTGGGTTAGTGATATTTCAACAAAAAATTAAATAAAAATGGAAGTAGGTACCTACTAATTTACCACTTGCTAAGGAAGAAGCGCTTTAGCAGCACGGCGAAACTATAACATTATAATGTTCTGAAAATCAAATATAATATGTATATGTGTATAAAAAATAATATGTATTACACTTATTTACAACCCATACACACATTGTAAGGTTAATACCAAATAAATAGGTTCCTATAGTAACAATTAGGGCTTGGAAGTTTGACAAGCTATACCGAAGTTAAAAATCAAAAATTTATATTTTGCATATTTCGTCCATTTCAGAAAAAAAGTGCATATTTCTTGATTTTCATACGCCTATTATGCATATTTAATGTAATATTTAATTGACATTTTTCCATTCATATCATAAAATTTTTTCTTGCATATTTTTTTTCTTTTTTTTAGCTCTGATTATTTCCTTGCTCTAGTAATAATAATTGTCTTATGACTTTCATAATAATTTTCCAGTCATACAATCTCATAGCTCTAAAATTAGATAGTATGGTACTTAAAATCGATACAAATTTAGTGCCTAGTACCTATTTATCAAAATAAAGAGTTTGAGTAAATTACATTAATTTTTTTGGTTTTTATAGTAGCATTTCAAAAACAAAAAATGTAAGTACTTATTCAATTACCACTCACTTAAGAAGAAGTGTATTAAACGCCAAGAAACTATAAATTCTGAAAATCGAAAATATGTATTATAATGTATAGTATACCTACTCACATTACACATTTAGTGAGTAGTATTCATCAAAACAAAGAATGTAGGTATTTTTAACTTAATTTTTGGTTTTTATAAAAAGTTATTGTCATAACTCGTTCAAAAGAATCCATTAAAAGTACACCATACTCCTAAACCAAAATGCTGATGTCTCCAACTGACAAGTGCGTAGCATGGCAAATTTATGCTCAGCAGTCTCCATTTAGCTTAGTTAGTTTCAAATGTAGTCTAAATAACCTATTGTTAAACTTAAAAGTAAGAATATTATCTGTATTTTTAAGTCGGTCTACGATATTTTAATTTTTTGATTGCAATATTTAGCATACTCATAACTTGCCTAAAAATTAAAATTGATATATCCTAAAAACGCACAGACACAAAGACTGTTGTTACTTTTTAAAGTTTTATTACCGGTCAATTCACTCTAATATTAAAACTAACGATGCTAAACATGAGTAGTTGAGAGTAAATTTGCCACATCATGCATTTGCAACTCGCTAGATAAAGACAATCAATCATCTTCAGAATAGTTAAGTTTATTGTAATTGATTCGTATTATATTATATGCTTCCGAGATATAAAAGCTTTTATTGATAATAATAAAATAATAACTATATTGTTAGTTATTTACTATAATATTTTATATTTAAGCAAATATCAAAACAAAACGTTTATTATTTACTTGTTACATTGTATGAGACGAATACATTTGACGATAACATGGATATTATATTTACAGCACCACTTGTTGACATTGTAAACGGCACGTCATTTATCGCTATGAGATCGATTATTTCCAAACTCGTACCGCCAGATGAACTAGGTATGCAACAGTTGTTTTTAAATCGAATTTAATTTTCAATCTAATAATGTTTAAATTATTTCAGGCAAGGTAAACTCGCTCTTTGGCGTATGTGAAGCTCTGGTGCCCCTAATTTACGGACCAATGTATAGCGCTGTGTACAAGGCCACGCTGAAGACGGTTCCTGGAGCGTTTTTCTTACTCGGTGGCGCATTAACTGCTCCCGCAGCTCTCATATTTCTGTTAGTATAATTGATGTCCTACATCGTGTTTATCTTTAATTTTATAAATATATTTAAAAAAATAATTATTATTGTATTATAAGATTCAACAATAAGTTAGTTTATACAGTTTTGTTTACATAATGTTATGTTTGTAACTCTTTGGTGCATTCAGGCCCGAATTAAAGGGAGTCAGGTGGGTATGGCCCCGGCCCCATTAATTATTAACACCAACGACAACAATATTATAATGTTCAAACAAGGATAAGAACAGGATTGTACCTTTTATCGATTGAAAGGGGGCCCACAATGGGCATAGATTAGGACCCAGTGACCTACTCGATGATGAAGTATACACTCGACAAAAGAGCAACCTTCTTGGTTTTAAAAAATATGTGTATGATTTAGAGGTTTCAATGCGGGCTTTGATTCATTTATAGCTAACAATACAATTTGATTAGAAAATAACAATCTAACTGTTATGTAATTCGACTAGTAACTTATTAAACAAAATTATTGATGTATATATGTATGTGTATGTATAATAGATGGATGTACAACGAACATAAAAAGGAAAAGAGAGAAAAAGAAGCAGAGATCAGAGATGAAGAAAAGAAATCTGAGGCACTGAAGAAAAAAAATAGTTTGGACTTCAGGATATCCTCTCACGACTTCGACTTGAAAACTATATTAGATAGGCGGACACAGACTCACAGAGGTTCGGGACAATTTTCAAGTCTAGGATTGGACAACATAGCGTTCCAGATGGAAGAAGGAACCACCAAAGGCAAATAATCCTAACGATTTTCAATATAGGATTCAATGATTGAATATTTTTTATTTCTATTGTCATTAAGTCACAATTTCGTTCATTCGTATCGTGAGTAACATGTGTACATAAGTTAAGACGTCCTTGAAAATTAACTGTACAATAACTCTGTCTCAAAATCAATAACTTAATGTCCATATTATGATATTTAATTTATGTTTGTAAATTAGTATCGTCATGGTTGAAATCAAATATCTTCGTATACGTTTATCGTTTTTCCGTATATGGGAAATTCAGCGTTAGCTTGTGGAACTATTTTCCTTTGAAATATGACTATTGTTTTTCTAGGTTTGAAGTAGCATATTATTATGAGTACATACTTGTAATCATAGCTAATAGTCACCTGCGTTCGGCTAAATGATTACTCACTGACCACTATCCAAACAAAAATGTTGTATACAATATATAATGCTATATAATATATATATATATATATACTGTTAATAATTATTTAGTTAGGCGAGTGTTATAATGTTTACTATTTATAGTATAATATTGTCTTAAAGACATAAAATACAGTTTTCCTAATTTTTCCTGACAGACTTAAATATCTAAATTTTAAGTTGCCCATCTTTGTACATGTAAATATACATAAATATATAAATATTCACCCGTATACATAATATTATATATTAGTTATGTCTTATGTATTATAATATATTTTCATCCCGAGGTATTAAAAATAATTGAACTATATTGGTTCGGTTAAACAGCATAGATTTAAGACCATTAACATAGTTTTTATTATTTTTTTTTTTTTGTTAATGTTAATTATTATAAATTTAATATATGTTTATCATGTGTTACGTGTAAGGAAATTAAGCGACAATAGTTTGAATATTTTAAATACCATTATTTTTCAATCGATCAATACAGATTAAATTTAAATATGTTAGGTACTTACTACTCAGCAAAAAAAAAAAATGATCTATATCAAAATATTTTTAAGTATGTAATAATCATAGAAATAATTTTGTGTATTCTCAATTTGCCGAATACCATTTTTCAAAAAGAAAAATACCAATAACTGAATATGGACTCCAAAGTACGAATATTACATTATTATTAATTCTGTAAGACAACTTATCAGTATATTATATTAAGCATAAAAATGTAGGAAAGAATTACAGTTATAGAATAGTAATTTGAAAATTGTATAGATGTACATACTAATATTATTGTATAACCATAAATATTAAAATGTATTTTTATTTAAGAAGACATATACCTATACCTTAGTGATCATAAATAAACTTGTTGATATCAAAATGAAATTGTAGATCATTTAAAAATTATTTTTTGATTTTGTAAACGTTAAGAGGTGTAATATCCATTGGTCACCATAGGCCGTTACTTCACTCATAAACCTTCCACTCGTACTATGGTACTGCAGACCTGCAATATCAATAAGAAAAAAAGTCACTTTAAATTGATCATATTTTCTACCATATATATATATTTATAATAATAAATGTGTTATGTATTGTAGCGTTTTTATTTCTGTGACAGAATAATTCATTTTTGATAATTTATCCGTAAAAATTTGTTAGTTTGTGAGGTTCTTGTTCAATTTTATTATAAAGTTGTGTATAAAATTACGTAAAAAATATAAATTCTATACTGAAGGTTCTCCTTTCCTCATTATATAAAATTATTAATATTCAATAAAACAATTGATAGCGCTACATTAACACAAGATTACTTGTAAATTACTTTATAAATTCATTTAAATAAAGGTATTTTTAATATTTTTAATAAGTCCTTAGAATTGCCTATTCAAATCCCCTTAAAAAAAAATTAATTGGTTGATGCTTAATCATTGTTTTTTTTACATACATTTTAAATAATATTTCAAAAATATTGTCTGTACTTCGTCTCTATAGTTATATAACTGTACACTTCTAAGTTGTAGTATAAATTATGAATAGTGAATACATGAAACTGTTTTGTATACATTTCTCGTAACTATTTATTAGTATTAATCATTGTTTTATATTAATTATAATTAATATCAACAACATTCCATAATAATGTTAATTTTATGTCTGACGTTTCAACAGTTATCAAATCCAAGTACGATTTTGATGTCGTTAGCTGTTATTTTTTTAACTTCGAATCAGTTTGGTGGGAAACAAGGAGGTTTGATTTAAATAATAGAACTTTCCGGTCAAACGTAGGTGCGTGAATACGACGTAATACCTACAAACAATATAGAAACGTATTATAAATATGATAATATATAGGTATGGGTTTTTTATCTTCACGCGACAAAACTTATTGTTATCAATCATATATTATATAATATTATAGGAAGTACGCACCTATCTTAATAGCGTACGTGGTACTCGTTAAAACTTGTGGCAAGTGCAATAGATTTCTTACCTACCGGAAGATTACGAACCAGAATAAGTGCCTTCGTCATTTTATTCACACGCATTGTGTGTACATGTGTAATGAACACAAAACGTTTCCGGATCGAACATCGTGAAACACTTGTATGTTAAATCAATGCGAACCTCATTAGACTTATATAATAGTGGTGTAGCCAGGAATTTCCAAGGGGAGGGGGCTGTTATGAAAAATAACTACCTTAATTGAAAAAATAAACCATGAATATTATTGTAAAAAAATAATACCGTACTTGTCTATACTAAAATTTATATTTTGAAAACTGCAGATTCAGGTAATAATTTATATTTGAAATAAAAAACAATGTATACAAAAAAAGGAAGTAGTAAATTTTATTTTATTATTACGTTATATTACGACATTACGTTATATTTACATGGTAAATTTGGTTACCGATTAACAAATAACTATAAATCATAGACCATCATAGTTCGTTTTATCAATATTCAATAATCAATCTTCTCAAATCACTATTTTATTATATACATGTTGTAAATAAACACGGTCTAGGGGGGTGTTGCTACACCTAAATGACAACCCCCTCTTTAGGCCACTGGATACTCGGTTTTGCAGATGAATAAAATTCGTAGTTCTTACTTCTGCACAACAAATACGTTTCAAACCATTCCACCGACATTTGGATAAAGAAAATTTTTGATAAACGTTTACGCTGTCCAGTAAAGTAACAGCTTTGCTCAGAATATTATATTTGTTTTTAACTCACCGAGTTATACGCCACGATGATAAATAGGTAGCGACCGAAACAATACTAATGGCTGTTAAATACAATTACACGATGCGGAGACACAACTGGGTAAATAATTATAGCTGAGTATTATAATACTCGTATTATTTTAGAATTAAACAATTAGGTTGATCTCTGCAATCGGCAAAGTACTCTCTCGGACGAATGAAAACGTTAAGCATAATATATAAGGACAAATTAAGACATCCCATATTTTTAATTAACACCGGGAAGTGCATTCACCCACGGCTGGACGGTTTCAATAAGTGTTCAGCGAAACCAATTGGATAGATATTGTGTTGTTACATTTAACATTAGAGTGAATTGACCTATTATCAAACTTGAAGGAAAAAAATATATTTGAGTTTGTATGTGGTTTTATGATTTTTCAATTTTTCAATTTTTAAGTTAGTTATGACTTATGAGTATTTTTAATTTGGTAAATAGGCGATTCATGAAGCAAGCTAACATCAATTTTTTTCCTTTAATAATGAACTTTTAAAATTTTACTACTACTCAAAGACCTTATTTTGAAGTTCTTGATTATTTTTTTGTATTTGGTACTTAAGACTGAGTGAAGAGTTAAGAAGTGTCCTAAAGTCCTAAGTTGGGTTCCTTAAATGAAAATCGCCCTTCTACACTGTAAATTATTTAGTGAATTAATTTTTTGAACATTTTTATCCATCTAATTCAAAAATTAAAAACTCTGAGAAGACCGACGTTTGATTTTTAGTTAATATTCACTCGAACAATAAATCTAAACACATAATTAGTTTTTCTAAACGTAAATTTGTTATAATGCATACTGGCATGTTTGTAAGACGTAGTACATCGTGCCCTTCTAATCAAATTTACCCGTAACCTGTGTATATAGGATAGAATTATTTTCCAAAAGTGATCGGCAAATATTAAATTACATTTCATGGTTATTATTGTACTTATTATTATGTATTCCTAGATAGAACCGATGATAGTAGGTATTTACGTACCTAGGTACTTACTCCGTAATTTCAAGACATAATAATTCATATTACATAAATCGATGATTTTAACGTTTTTATAGTATATTTAACTATTAAGGTAATAAATATATTACAAATCAATTGATCTTCTCCGAGGAAAAAACAGTTAATAGTGAAAACGATGTTTTTATTAAACAAATTTTCTGAAGAAAAATAACAGAATTGCAAACCAACCATTTTTTTAAAAATACTTTCTACCACGCTTGATAATTAGCAACAACAAAAAATTATGTATTGGCATTCAGGTCTTCGTATAATTAACTGATAAATATTTTAATCGTTTTAGATTATTTAATCAATTATAATATTCTTGTCATAGCTTATAATTTATAATCTACTAATATGTCAAGCCCTGGTATTCTAGTGAACACTAAAACATGCTGTACATATGCAGTGTGCACCCGAGCGTCAACAATTTTATTTTTAATTACAGAAGTTAACCTTCATCTAAAACCAAAGGTTTAATTGTAGGAAATGCAATTACATATTATTAGGGATTATGGTAAAACCTATTTTAAAACAATAACAGCTTTTTAATACAATTTTACTACACTAATAAATAATTATTATTCAAAACAAATTTAAGGTTAAGGACATTTTACAACGATCTTGTTGGATTTCCTAGTGTCTTTACAAATCCACTAGAAAACATTATTTTTGTTAAAATATAGATGAAGGTTTTACAATTTTTGTTTTAAATATTATTTATAAAAAAATGTAAAGATAATAATTACCGTGATGTTAAACATTTTACATTAAAATGTAACTGTAAGTAATCTATACCAGATTATTTACCTATATAACTGTATTATCAATAAATAGCTGTAGTTTGTGTTAACTTTCTTGAGGATGGTCAAATAGATATAACACAACAAATGTATTAAGATTGTATATTTTTGTTAACAAAAAATATTCATTGAATTTCCGATATTAACTGTTTAATAAAAGCAACGGTGTATAGAAGTGCGTTGTATATTCGCGGAAGCAATGCAAAAACAGTTCCCGAGGCGTCGTCGGTTCAAAAAGAAAAAATAGATGTGCGTTGTATATAGGTAGATCACGTGGGTGATAACTAGTAATTCGAATCGCTATATTAATCGGAAAAATATATTTTGGTATGAGAAGAATTCATCGTTTAGAATTTAGTAGCTCATTTACTCAACTCTTTTGGTAGTAAATTGAGGATAACACCTAGAGTATACTACTACAATTAGGCTATCTAGAACTTATTGTATTTTTTAGTTTATTTTCTTGAATACATTTTTCCTTTGTTTACAGTGAATTTCCAATATTTTGTGTTTATAACCATATACCTATACGTGTACACTTAAGGAACATTGAAAAGCAGTTTTTCATTTGAAAAATACGTAATAACTGTTTAGGACTTATGGACAACTATAATGACAATGTGCCAACGTATATGTCAGTCACGCTGGGTGAATTCAATGAATGCATGTAACTGCATGTTAAATATTATAATGACTAAAATAATTATTTTGTGTAGTATTGCCAGCTATATGCAGTTGATGGTCATAGATTATAAAACGGGAAAATTCAGAACAAAAATATACTACGCAAACTCAGGGTTATTCGGGATAAATAAAACAAATTATAATTTCATAATATACAATAGTTGATACAACTATTACTGAAAACATTTTTTTTTTTTTAGATGTTTTTAACCGATGTTGTGACTTGTAATTTTATAATGTAATACGTTGATTAAAAACTAAAAAACTGGTAAGTGGATGTCACTCTGCTGTTCAGTAGGTTACAAGTGGGTCACTGGACGGGGTTACATTTGAATACAATAATATAAAATTATTGTACACGAAAATCGATTCAGAGCGAGTCGGTCAGTCAGCCTGTATTATTACTTAGAAATTTAGTTTATTTGATGATGTTATTGTGACTTAAGTAATTTATTTAACTATTAAGCATTAGTACTATAGTAGTTAAATTAATTTTCACCCAAAAAATATATTCGAAGAGGTCATTGTGTGTATAAAATAAAATAATATACTCTAAATATGTCATGTGGGTACTCCAAATAATATATTTTTAAATTATAACATCAATAATAACTTCAATCATTATTCTCGGCTATTTAATAATATATAATTTCTTCCAAAATTGAATATAAACTAACTATAAAAAAACATGTTTTATACATTTTTTAGATTTTTTGGTTACAGAATTTGGTTCACTACTTGTGTGTACTTCGTTTTACATTTTTGATCCTAAGCTATAAAAGTTGAACATTTTATAAATATTTTACTAGGTAAAAAATAATTTTGTCAACATTTTAACTTTAAAGTTTAAATGCTTATAGAATCGTAGGTATCTATGTACTTTCAATATTTTTCAACTGATACTGTAACAATATAGGAGGAGCTTGTATTCAATTTTCAAGCTTTTGGACCCAACTAATGAAATTTTGTTGACAATTAGAGGAAAAAAAATTGTTTACAGGAGAAAAAATTGATATGAAATAATATTAGGTGTGGCAATGAAAAATAATATTATACTCTCACATTGGCCACCTGCATGTGGTCTACTACACATTTAGAGTTCTAAAAGTCTCATTCCCTACAGTTTACGGATTTCTTTTGATAAAACATTATTTTTTACAAACGATATAATTTACTAAATAATTGTTTATATTTTGGTATTATATTACATTTAAATTCATAAATACTACGATTAACATTGTAGTTATTTATAATATCTTGTGAAATCGGTAATGGCCTTAGATACTGATGCAGTTAACTTATAACGATCAATTATTTAATTATAATTTGTTATAATAAACTATATAGTCTTTTAAGTATAGATTAGCAGTGATAACAATAAAGGGTAGTTTCTCCATAGCAGTCGGAAAATTTTTTAATAAAAGCCTGTAACAACATTTTATAACACCTTTCTATTTATCCATATTTTAACAATTCTGTGGAAGTGCACGTAATTTAGTGTTACGACCTCACAAGTGTTTGTTTCAAACAATACTCTTATGTACTCTTTGTAAAATATTTTTTTATTAACTTAGGTGCGTAATGAACGTTGACTGTTGTTTGAATGAATTGTTCTGTGTTGCGTACTTATTATACTATGATATTATTATATTTTAAAAAAATATTCGTCTTTTGGACATTGAAACATATGAAACAATGGAGTGATATTGAGGCCAATTGCATAATTTAATAAACTTGGTTCTGTATAATAAGTTAAGTAACATTAGTAAAGTTCCTAATTATAAAATTATATGTCTCATTGCTTAGAACTACGTAACATTTTTTTTATATTAGATTATAATATTCCTAATCAACAGTTAATCAAAACTAAATTCACATTAAATATTTTATTGTAGTTCCATTGGTCGTATAATAATATAAGATGTACATTAATGGCTTATGTTTAAAGATAACATACGATTTACAAAGTTCTATAATTTGTTTTAAAAAATAGGTATAATTTAAATAAAACATACATTTAATTAATGATATTAAAAACCATAAAAATGTGGATTATTTTATATAAATAACTATATTAAACGATGTATTGATATTATCTTAGAAGTTCTAAAATATTACTCAGTTTTCATTACCATCTGAAATATTTAAGTAGTTAAAGCTACAAAATATTACGACTGTGCAATTAGTAGTTACCTATTGGAAAACGTAACACTATACTACAGCTGGCTGAAACCTTATGTAATCAATTTATTTTATCAGAATATTGTAATGATTGTTTCTTTGAGGAACCATCGTCCGACGAGGACCCTTAAACAATAGCTAATTGGCACTTGGTAGCTTATAAAAATAATAAAATGACTATGACTGGACGAATGATTTAATTTCCTTATTATGTAATAATATAGATAATAAATTCACATTATACGTCATATACCTACAATTTACATATATATATATATATATAATATTTTTAATTTTAGCATCCTGTTATCAAGCTATATACATGAATACAATTCATAAACAGTTGCTCTCGTATGGATGTACAATAAATTACGTGTATTAACTATAATGTTACATCAGATATTATTTTGTTTAAAGACCACGATGTTCTGTTAAACATTTTTTTCGAAATAGAAAGATTAAAAAATCTAATATGTAAATGTATTATACCTACGCGTGACTCGGATAGGCGCACGGAATTAGCATTTATAATATTATAATACGTCGTGTAACACATGTAAATTATAGTGACATTATATAAAAATATCATGCCGAAGATGGACATGCCAAAATAAACTCACAATGAGCCTGAGATAAGTGGTCTTAACAATGATGATGCGTTTCACAATGAGGATGTGTTGATCGAGTAAAAAAAAAATGATTATAAAATATTACCCAGACGAACGCTGTGTTATATGGTATAGGTACCTACATCATTTTTACTAGAGGAAAATATTATTTGCATTCATTATTATATTTTACACAAAATAAAAATTCTTATATTTTTCATGTTGCTCGTTTTAATTATTATATTGTATCCATTGAATATACTACATACGCATAAGTTAGTCATATATTTTCAAATTCTTAGGTTAGGTTAGTAACTTATTGGATTATATACCACCAGCTCATGTCTCGATTACATATTACATTGAATTGCATGCCATTCTCGAATTGTAAATAAACTATTTATGGTAATAAGAAAATAATTGAATTCCTCGCATTCTATAACAGCGTGGTTCTTATCAACTAACAAACCTCACTAAATGGCTAAATATGACTGAAACAAAACGGTATCGTGTCTATACAAGATCAGATTCTTCGATTGTTTATTAGATAGGAATTTCATATTTTCGAATATCCCCAGTTTGAACACTAGTATACTACACTGATGTATATAAACATCAGAAACTATAACAGTATATATTATTACATTCAATCGTCATTCATAGGTTAGGTTAGTTAGGCTAGTTAATTTCTGGTTTCATTTTATATACAACTAAATACCTACGATATTATTTAAATGGATAAATGGATATTTAAATAAATTAATAATCACTTATTAATTATAGTTTAATAGTATAATAGTTCACGCTTAATTTTAATAAAAAAAATCCATCGTACATACAAGTTTATCCAACTTATAACTTTTAGAATAGAAAAGGTTATTTTAACGTTTGTTTTTTGGGTTGTTATGAGAAAAACTTCATGAAAACAAAAACAAAACAAAACAAGGCAATATAATTAATAAATGAAAGAAAAACTTGTAGTATTTATTATTATTGTGCGATTTGGACCCTGCCTTGTGTTTTCGAACATACGACCGTCAAAGTGGGGAGTAGGCTAGGTAATGAAAACAGGTTGAATGCATGAAGGTCGTTAAACTGAACACGCAGTTCTGCAATAATCGTGTACGATATGAGACGTACCGCGAAAGTTATGTTCACGTAGCGGCAGTCGGTGCAGGAAGACGCGACGTCGAACCGTTGATTTTGTCGTATTTCTTGGATTCCGTTTCGACATTGACCGGAATGATTTATTTTCACCTTGAATAATCAAATATTTAACAATTAGGTAAAGTCATAACACTATTATAATACACGTCTATTTACACTTATAGTTTTTAAAACGGTTTTATTCGGTTATATATAATATAATAACGGGTTTCGTATAAAATTAATAGCATAATAATACGTAGAAGTGAGAGCAGCAGCATGGCGAGCAGAGAGGGTATCAATAAATTTATAATGATAAAAAGTAAATGTAAAATAAATAATTCAGCCCGGATGGTGCTTTAATAGTGTATGAAGCTTTGCTCGAAGGAGTACTTATTATCATCGTTTTGATGATGACCTGACCGAGTCCAATGTGGCACATTTTACTCGTGAACCGTAACGTACGGAACCATAATAAAGTGGTGCTAAGTATTCAGCAGTATAAAAGAATTGCATGTTATTAACAAATCTGTGTACCTACCTGTTGCTTTATCAAGATTTCAAAACATAATTGATTTCCATACGAATATTTAAGGTAAGATTTTATTTTATTTTTCACAATTTGCACCATACGCTCTGGACTTTAAACCATATATAAATTAACCAAATAAATTTACTATGTCTTCATCTCTTAAACATCTATAGTAAAAGTATATCGGGTTTTCAGGGTATATAAACATGCACATTGCAATATACTAAATTCTCAAAGAAGCAGAGACATTTAAAATCTCGTAGATAAAGAAAGATTCGATAATATTGTGATGTTATGTCAAATTATTATTGTAGTTTTTCATTCAATTTTTTTTATTATTAATCTTGAATTACATAGGCTGCAAAAGTCCATTAATTACAATTTTTTACAATAACAATTCCATTTTTTTCAATTAACATTTTGATAGATATAAACAATTATTTTAAGATAATACAATATTTGCAGGTTCTACAGTAGGGAGTTGAGTTTAAATAGTTAAATATCATCTAAACACGGTTGAACAGGTCGAGTTTTCTTAAAAAGTTGATCATGTTGATGATGTCTCCTGTGTTGTGACCCAAAGCTACATCAAAGTTGATTGAGATGTTGGATTTTTTGAAGTCTTCTTCAAATTTATGGCATTTAGTTATTAAGTGTTCAACTGTCGAATAGACGCCGCAGGCTAATCACAGGCTGATCACTCTTCAACTCGTTTGAAATTATTATTTTGATTTTATTAGTGCCACCCGTATTTATCTACTCCATCTACATTCAGTGTCCATTGTTAATTTTACTTATCAGGTGATTTATCGTTTTACGTGATTTTTCTCGTAAATTATTGGGAAATGTTTGAATAATGACATGTCAAAATAACAATATAATATATAAGCACAATTTACAATCTGAAGCGATTTTTCACAAATTTTTGAAATTTTTGACAATCAAAAATCAATAAACTGACTGAAACATAAAATCACTTGAACACTAAAATCTAAAAAATTGTACTTAAATTTCTAATTGTCAAAACTGCTGAAATAAAAAAATAAAACACTTAAATACCTACTTTGAAGAATAAATGAATGAATTAAATGCAGCACATACATTATATGGTTAATTACTGATTATTATTAGGTGAATTTAAATTGTATAGGTATTCGTATAACGCAATAGCTGTAGATGTTTTATTAGAAATAATTCTTTGTATCCGTCAACCTCTGATTAATTTTATCGTGTAGTTATTTTCCAACCTTGTAATAAATTCGCACCTTATAATTTTATATTTTTAAATATATCATAAAATTATTGTACCCTCAATTGCGTATAGGTCTGTGAAGCGTAGAAAACCATAATTTATCAATTAAATGTACAATATTGTATGTAAATTAATTATGTGAGTTGTTTACACAATTTAAATAAAACATGTGTGTCGTACAATATTTTAAAATATTAATTTGTAGTTAAAAACCGGGGAAGACGCTCTATACTTAAGTGTACCTCGTCATTGAGTAACTACCTAGGTCACTATAATGGATGTGTTCAATTTGAATTTAACGATAAATCATTGCATTTACGATAAACGTACCTAAGCGGAAACAGCAGCTATTTCTAATGATATGTATTAATATTTTTATAAATATAATTTAGTTTCTATTCTAGTAATTGTATGGTGCTTTGGATCAACTTTTGCCAACAAAATCGAATACATTACCAAAAAAATAATATTATATCATATAGTATTGTTGTTATTCACTATTGCAACCTTGAAGATATTAAAATATAAAATATGTCTTTTGGCACAAAAAAACTAATCATTCTAAACAGGTACAAATCCATCTCCCGAATCTGAATCTAAAGTTATATATTCCTAAATAAAATGCATATTACATTATAATGTTCTTGCAAAAATGAATCGTCCATTATCAACATAAATTACGATATTGACCTTTATTCTGGCTCGCAGCCATGAAAAAAAAAATGTTTCGTGTCTATTAATCGAATCTGTTGGACATTGCAAAAAAACATAGTTCTATATGCACAGCGTCCAACACCAATATTTCTAGCAACTATTGCAGTGCTATAGTAGTAATAATAATAATAATAATAATATACATCGTTACACATTGTGTGTAGAACAAAGGGTTCGAATTTTAAATTCTACATTGACAATAGAGTAGTAGTATGTTCCTATATATTATATTATAGTAGCTGACTATCGGTGTAATTAATCGATGAGGAGAACCCGTTATTATGTACCGGTGCATTAAATGAAAATACAATAATAGTAAGTTTCTATGCATCTGAATTCAGGCTATAAATAGTATAAATCATTTCATCCAGCAAGTTGATGAATATCAAAAATATTATGACAACGTGAATAATAATAAGTATATAATTTCAAAGAGCCGTTAGTACATGGACCCGTTAATTAGCTTTTGTCAATAATTACACTATAAATGCATGTGCATATTGGCAAAGGAATTTAGACTAAATTACAATGGTTATTGGTTGTGTACAATGGTTGCGGTGGATGTATAGTAGATAAATAGATACCTACTTCAATATGTTAAACTTTGACATATCAAATAGCCATAACACAAGTCAAAGACTACATTTTACTAATGTAAAACTAAATGTGTTGCGAAGCCTTTTAATTCCCTAAGTACAATATTGCAAATAACATATTGTGATGGAATATACTTAGCACTTGCCCGTATTAATATAATATTATTTTATATTCGAATATATTAAATAAAATATTATTATGGTGTGGAATCTAAAGGCCGATTTTAGTTTTAAATGTTAACATATTAGTACAAAAGTGGATATTAACTAGGTATAGTTAAAGATGAGTTGATGGTTTTGCCTAAAACCACTATAATAGATAGTTTTGCAATAAGAAACAATATTCAATAAGGTGAATTTAAGAGTTATTATTTTAAATTAATTAATTTTTTTCCTATATGAAAATTAAAGAAAAAAATTAATAAGTATTATTTGTTAATTCTTCCATAGTCTTCAATAAAAAAATAAAACGTCGTTAACAATATATCAACGATTTGGTCAGTTACATGTAGTACTATAGCTTTATTATAAAATATCTAAATTATATTTCGAAGTACAGTTACCGGAAGTATTTAATATACCTGTAACTTATTTACCACTGGTATTCTAATAATGGGTGACTTTTTCTTTTTTTTGCCTGGAATAAATCTTTATAATTTTAACAGATTTAATATTATAGTATTGTACATCAAATTTACTTATTACTTGTGCAGTTCTATGTGTAGATAATAAGTAAACTTTTGATATCAATAAAAAAAAAGTGTGTGGTAGAGTACTCGTGTGGGAAGTGAAACGTCTTTCCGTAGTTAAAGATGAAGGTGATAATGGTAATAATATTCCATCGGTTTTCGAGTGCTTTTTCTTTTTTTCGATCTCAAAGATTTCGCTCACGTTCAGCGCCGATTCTAGGTTACGTTAGGTTAGGTTAGTAATCTAACCAATATAATTAAAGTTAATAACAGGCAACGTGGCTGATAGACTTCGGCTTAAACCACAACTATGCATTTTCACCTGTTCCGTCATCAATGGGATAGTATATATTATTTTTTTTTCACTCGATAATGCCATATTTTTCATATTTTGTTGCACTCATTCGTACATATTTTATAGTCAATACATATTGATAAATAAATTAAATGTATGAAAACATGTTTTAAAGAGAGATATCGTTATAATCTTAAAGGAATTATCTATTATGGTTTCCATTTCCTGATTGATTTACAAAGTTACGTATTTTTTCAAGTAAATCGTTATTTTCACGTTGTAATTTTTCGTTCTTTTCGTCAATAATTTTACATTCGATCTTTACAGCTGACACACGGTTCTGAATATTGAACAATATCTCTTGCATTATTGATTGATTATCAGGCTACATAAAATGATACATTTCTAATTAGTTTGGTTCATCTGTAACTATTTTTAGTTTAACGCATGGACAATTTTAGCTCCTACCATGCCATAATATATAAATATAAAATTTGTTCGAAAATTTTTTCAATTTCACATAGTGAATGTCAATAATAGTTAGCACATTTATAACCTATCTAGTATTTCTAATATATATATATATTATATACATATTTAATATACGCCCAAAATATAAGCTGCGAAATTGGTGTACTGACCTAAAATATAATCATCGCAATAAATTGGTATACTGACCCTAAAATACAAATTGTGTTTTAGTCACAACTGATAAATGTCCATTTTTTACATTTAATCTTAATAAATTAGTATACTTACAAATACCTCTGCGTATAAAATTTCCGGCTATAAGTGTGTCAGAATATTTTACAACAATTAATTTTATTTTGATAACTACTATTCAATACTGTGAAATACCTTGTTTTCGTGTACAATTATTAATTATTAAATGATGGATCAGAAAATTGACTTTTTGCACGATTAGATAGGGCCAAGACGCGCGAGAACACAAGATAAGCTATTGAAACGAAAATTAAGTTCTTAAAAATTATTTTAGTCAAAAGTGTATATACTATAATATTAAAATGGAGAAACTTCTGACGATCTAATTACAAAAAAAATGATAAATCAGACTTGCCTCATATACCTATTTCCTAGTTCAGTAAATATCTACTTGTCTAACTTAACACTCGTAAGTCGTAACAAATAATTTAGTTAGAAATGTTGTAACCATTTTTGATTTTTGAAATATAATTAAATATAAATTAACTTATATTAATTTATATTTTATACTGCAATTGTAGAGATTTCTGAAAAATATACATTATTTTAAGCCCGTTCTTTGCTCAGTTCGGTGTTTGAAAAAGAAATAGTTTTCACGCAGCACTGTAAACACCATTAGTTTTTTTATACATAAGCCGATTTATACCTATAATACCACCAATGGTTTGGATTTAAATCATGAACTCTACTACAGTAGTATAGTTATTAATAGTGCATGATTTACATAATATATTCCATAGATCTTGTTTTGTAAGCCTATTCTATTGCCTAATGCTATAAATATGTTTTTTGTACATTGTATTTGATTCACACTCGTCACGAAACAGCTTTTTTGTATAAATTCCTGTTTAATTAGATAAATTTAACTACCTCGTCAATATCTTCATATGCATATAACATTGGAATAATATGAGCTTTGTCTTCGGATGTTTCCAATTCTTGACATTTGTGAATACATTTCATTATGTCTTCCCCCCTCTTCAATTTAATTTTTAAATTCTGTATTTTAATGTAAATGAATTAATAATATTTACATTATAAAATATGAATTACTTTATACGCTATTTATTTGTTTGGTCGATTGGCAAAGTAGTGACTTTTGTCTGTGGCCAAGCTTAGAATTATTTGCGACCTTAATTCTAAAATTTTTCAAACCCTTTTGAACTTCATCCCTTTTTTGTATTAATATATTTAATTCCTTCAATAATTTAGGTTTGACCATTTCTTTTTCCAAGGCACTTATTTTATTCTAATAAATAATTGTATTATTAATATCACAGTAAAAACATGTACGTTACTGTAAACCCGAAGTCTAAACTCACTAATAAATCTTTAATTCGAATTTTTAATTTTTTTGTTGTACTTAATAATTGTTCGTTCACTGATTTAAACTTAGAGTATTCTTTTGCCGTATATTGAGTTTGTTTCTTATAATCATCCAAAGTAGAAGTGTATACATCCTTCATATTCGTGTAATGCATTATGTAGTCCCTCCAACAAAATTTATTCATAATTGTTTCGAACTACATTAAAAGATTAGTTATTAATTTCGAGCAAAGGGCGTAATGACTGAGACAAAATTTAGAAATAATAGACGCGATACTTAGTAAATACTTATTAGTACTTACAAAATGAAAAACAAAAAAATTAAACAATGAAATACTATAACAATCGATGAAAATCTTAAATCTTATAATAACACCAATTTTCAATACGATTTCATCAAACTCATCGGATGTCTAATCCGAGTTGTACATCTGACGATTCTATTATATATTTATATAACAAGTGTCAGTTTGAATGAAAAATTTACTCATTTAATGAAACAATTATCATAGACACTAAATCATGTTTAAGGGGCTCACTACTGATTCTTTGAATTTTCAGTGATTTTTTATGTAACCTGGCAGTAAGTGTCGGCTGTAAATGTCGGTAAAAAGCGTCTATTTATTATGTATTTCATTTTTATGCTATTTATTTATTTTATATTTTCATCGAATATGATACTGTACTCTATACAATATAAAATATTTTATAACACCTCATCCATATCGCCATATATAGGTATAGTGACATCGCTGATGAATATAATGTTACGCATAATACAAGTAGTTATCTACTTGTATAGTTAATAATCAACCCAGTTATTTGTACAACAATATAATATTCATTATTGGTTACCGTTACTGGAAATGTATGGTGATCAGTTTTGTTTAATTTGTTTAACTATCAGTAACGAAACGTACAACAGCTAACTAACATTTATCATATCGATCAATTTTAAAAATTTTAAAAATTGTATTATCAAAGTCACCCCAACTAACGGTATCGTGTTGATCAATTGTACAGATTCATAATGTTTTTATACTACTTGAAGAATTATCAAATGTATATTTTTAATAATTACAGAGTCATTGTCACTAAAATGTAACAAATTAAATGTTTAAGCTTTTAAAATTAATTTGAATACAAATTGTGTAAATATTTACTTTGACTTGTTTGTTATAGGTATCATATTTTCAGTGTAAAATGTACAAATTGAAGTTAAATACATTTTTTTGTACCTACCCTTCCACGTTCAATGTCCATATTTTCAATGTGTTTATTTTGAATGTTAGATTTCCATTTATCTATCTCCATTTGCACCACTTTACTATCATATTTTAGCATCTTCCAATAAGTATCGTTCTCGTTTGTCCTGACCTCTAGTTCTGCCAAGTCAACAGGTAGTGCTAATTCTAATTCAGCCTGATACTGGTGATGTATATCTTCAATTTCATTTTTAAATGCATCTTTCATGTAACAATTAATAGATCATTATTGTGTAACGTCTATCTATTTATATGGTATGTAATTATATGTTGATGGGGCGACTCCGCACTACATAAAGTTTATCACCATGATAAGTAAAACCACAACAACAAATTAAATGTGTGATATTAGTCAATAAATGGCTATTAACTATTAAGCACTCATAAGACCCTAAGGAAATCGTCTTATTTGTTTGGGCTTATTTACAAAACATTAATTATTAATTTTGTTCTTCATTCAATAATGGGCACATTTACTAAAAACAGTTCCTGCTCTTAGAAGATCAACATTTATTTCTAACAATAGTTTATGTTACATTATTATTATTTATTAGTATTTTCTCCATTCAGAAGATTACACTAATTTTTGACAGAAATATCGCATACTATAACATAAGTCAATACAGAGAAATTTCACTATGCATAAAAAATGAATATAAGTAAATGTGGAACGTTTAAAGCGTCTGTGTTTAGTATTTTTTTTTAAACACAGCAAAAGAACTAAAATCATTTGATACAAACTCTTATTTTACGTTTGAATATCTAATTTTATGAAAAAATAAAAAGTTCAAATAACTATAAAAAATTGTAATAGCGTACTCGATATTTTAAGTAGTTGTATGATGACAGCTTATAAGGAACCTTATACCATTTTTTTTTTTAACTTTCAATTTTTTACGGCACTCCGAAGATTATATCTATGGTTTTGAATTTGAACACATATTTTAGTATCCCGCTTTCAATCAGGTAAACACTAACATTAACCATTCACTTTAACATCCATTCTCCCTATTCTTTCTAACCATAATATTTATCTTTACGATTCATCAGTGAAAAAAAAATGGTCTTATGTTTTGATTTAAAAACAATTATTATAATTGTATTGTTCAGCTGATATTTTCTAGAATTATATGTCTATATCTAGGCAGCAAGCTGTACTACATTTTTATTATTATAAAAATAATTTTCGTCTTTTAAGATCAAAACGCACGTGTGGACCACTTTAAGTTTTAAAATGAGGTAGAAAAAAGCCTAGTTCAATATTTTTAAGTCCTCTACTTACCTGTAAAAATTTCGTTAAAATCGATTCAGCTGTTTCGATGAAAATTAGTCCAGACACATAGACAGACACTTATGTTTTACTTTATTGTATAGCTGATATAAATTTAATTACCTAATGTAGTACTGACCAATTCCAAATTTCTTTGACCAGTTCTACAACGATATTCTATGCATTCGTCCAACTCGTTTTGTAATTTCTCTATTATTTTATCTTTAAATTCCATTTGCATAGTTAAAGATCTTTGGCAGGACTAAAAAATGTAAAACTGAAATTAATATTAAAATGTTCAACATTTTGTTTCAATACCAATAGGTATAAAATAAAAAATATACTAAATAATAATATGTAAAGTTGTTTTCAATGTTTTTTGAGTGCCAAAAATACATTCACAGATTAGTCTTTTTTTACTTAATTTATTATTTAGTTGCAAACCACTTTTATGAGTAATAATTCGTGGTAGGTTTATGACTTGCCAAAATTTGACTATGCAAGTACGCGTCATTATACTCGGACAATATGTTTTCCCAACGTTTAGTAAGAATTTTCGTACTCTCTAAGGTATCGTCTACATTTTTTGTCAACATATCCTGTTTATAACGTAAACGTGCATATATTACATTATAGTTGACCAATAAGCATCATAATTTATAATCAGTGGATAATAAATTGTTATTACTGTATAAATCTTCGTTTTATGGCGTAATATTCCCAACATCTTCTCTTCTTTTCTATCCATAACCAATCTATGTAATTACTCACCTGCTATAATATGTATACGTATGCAATTAGATAGAATTTATTTAATACCTAATTATTATAGATAATATTTATTTTACAACGCAACAAAATCTGTTTAAAATAAATGATAAACGAGAAAACAATATAGCGGTATGTTTCTTATGATATAAAGAAAATAATTGAACTTATTTTACGTAGGTATGTGACCTTTAAAAATTAACTATGACTCACTGTTTATAATAAAACAAATTATGTTGGGATGGCTTCTATAGTTATATTACAACAACAAAAAAAAACGATTGTTATTCTTAGTCCAATAATTTTCTGAATTTGAATTTAATATTTATTATTAATAAATTACATCATTACTACATAGGTAGGTACATTGAGCATAACAAGATATAATAAAAACAAATTAAGTCTTCTTACATTGATGATTATAATTTATTCATGTTATTTATATTGTAATCACATTATAAGTACATTTTTTAAATTTAAATAGCTTCGTTATTTATCAATGCGTACTGAGCGTTGGCTATTGGTATTTCGATGGATTTAATAAATAACATTTGTACTATCACTTTAGTTCTTTCTTAATTTAATAACTGTAACTACTGAGATCTGGGGCTACTGTTAATTGTTAACTATTAAAATATATACAACCTAACATAATATATTCAAATTATTTGTTATTTATATTATCGATTGCGCTTAGTGAATGTTTTATGCGAAGAACGGAGAGTATTTTATTTGTTCACTTCAAATCTAAGATATACTTCGAAAATATATACCCATGAAAAAAATATATGTAAACGTCAATACTAATTTTTTATTGATTTTAAAGCTGTTATAGAAAATTAAATTTTATATTTCTTATGTTTATTTACATTAACAGTGTACAATACTATTACTTTTTGATAAATACAAAATAATTAAAAACAAAATGAAATATGTTGTTCGCTAAATTGTTTGATATTATGAAAGTATCACCAATACAACATATATTTGTTGATAGTCATATCATATTATTTTAAAGCCGAAAAAAATGTAAAATAATAATATTATTCAGTCATTATTTTGATTTGAGTATGGTAACTATAGCATATAAGTAATATAAACTTACGAGGCAAATATTTTTGAAACAACTAGATACTTAATTAATACTTGTGCATTATGATAGAATCGTAGGTATTGAACATTTTGAAAAATGCTTAACTTGACATAAACATTGTAATATAAACAAACATTGTTATATCATAACACTGCAGTATCGTTAATCTTAATGACTGGACGTAAACAATATAATATTATATAACCAAATCCATAAACAAATTCAAATATTTAAAACATGAAATTATTCGATTAGGTATAGTAAATAAAGATTAAAATGATTTCATAGAACCGGCACATATATATATTTATATAATGTAATCTGTAAAATTATTAGTTGGATTGTAGACTAATTAGGTCTCATAAGCTGATATAGTATAATATTATAATAATTTTTAAACTGTGCAATTTAGTATAGTGTTGATATCAGTCGCAGTTAGTATTAGATAATTTAATTGAAATATTCCTTTACTAATTTTTAGAGTGTACTCCTATCATTCTATTTCTAATTTGAAATTAAATAATTTAATAAAAATCTACTAAAAATCATGTTAAAAAAAAATGTTCATATAAAAATAAAATAAATACAACCTATTACAGTGAATGTAGTTTAAAATTTTAAATGCAACATAATATTTTCAAAGAAAAACAGGTAAATTGATTTTGAATTTTGTAAAAATATTTTTTCAGTGGCTGAATCTAATCATAATTTACACAATAAATACATTTTACCATTAATATTGTTTTTTATTATTTTGCATATTGATATTATTAGCAAGTAAATATTGATTATATATTATTTTTAATTCTGCATAAATTAAATTTAATAGATGAAATCAAGGTATGCATTATCTTAAGGAAATATTGTAGTTTAGTTAAAGTGTGTGCCACCATACAGAAAATAAATACACTTTTTAATACAACAATAAATACATAGATATACACGTTCCAAAGAATTTATACTTCACAAAAAATACAACGAATTTCGGTTAAGGTTTGTTGTATCAAAATGCAATATTTTGGTATCTTATCGAGAAATATTATGTTATATTATGTTTTTCATCTTTGAAATAATTAGGCACTATACAATTTTTAAGGTGTAAAAAATTGTAATTGAAACGTTGCCTTATTTAGAAACGTAAAAACAAGAAAAGTAATTCGTGATTATATTAATAATTACTAGGTATGTTAAATCATATAATACGTTGTGTGTAACATTAAAATTCCTAAAGAAAAGGAGGCGTTAAAAAAAAAATAACGGTTAGGTACGTTCAGAGCTGCAAGTGTAATAAATTCGCATTTCATTATAGGTTAATTCAAAATAATTGATAACAATTTGATTCGAAGCATATAATGATATAACCATATTAAACCATTCTAGATAACCATTCTAAATACTCAATTTCACTATTGCCTGTTTTATATTTAGAAGTCTACATACATATAAATGCATAAATGCATACATGTTTGTGTAATTTTCGTAGAAATCATAATACGAGAATACTTAGTATTTTATACCAACGGGGGGCAACTTATAGTATATGAAATTTTAATATTAAATATTTAAATTAATTTTAAATACTATAAAATATATGTTCACGAGTTCTTTCTTTTTTCATGAACTTTATAAATTTTTAATTCTTTTAAAAGTATTAACGTTTTTGGATGGATTTTTTTAAAATAATTTTAATTTAGAAACATTTTTTGAAACGACATTTCATGGACCATTTAAAAATTAAAATTAATAATTTTATAAATTTGAAATTATTTTTGAATTAAACATGCTAAATACAATTTTTAAGACACCTTTTTTTTGCCTACAAATTATTTTGGAAACGTTAAAAAAAAATTGTTTTTGCTTATCATTAATAATTTTGATATCTAATCAACCTTTATTTAATTCATCTTTAAATGAGATCAAATAAACAGTCTTAAAAATGTTTATTTTAATTTTATGTCATCATATATTATCATACTTTATACGTACTGTATATTCTTAACCTATTGGTGAATAGGTGCTTAATACCGTTTAAAAAACTACGTTCTGTATCACCTGTCTCTGCACCAAGTACTATTGTAATATTTCCTAATGAATCGTATTTTAATACCAAAATATTTTGAAGCATTTTTGAGCTTGAGAATTGTCACTGGATTCGATTCAGTTGAGGCTTGCGAATCACATAATTTATAAATATTAAATAAAAACATATCGTTGACTGTTCATTGCTATATAGTATATCTACTGTATAGATAATGCGTGTTTTCTCTTATAATGGTATAATTATTTATTTAATAATCAGCCATCAAACTATATAATGTTCTGTTTGTGTAATTATTTGTTTGGATCAAATAAATTAGTACAATCAACCATTTGTTACTATTTGGCATTATTTGTTTGAAATCTATTTTTTATTAATATCAGCAAAAAGTACATTAAATATTATTGTTATAATTTTACTTATTTATAGTAATAATATTAAACTGCCAATACTTATGATTTACCGTTAAAAATTATATTCAAATATGATTTATATATCTTTACTACTCCTCAAACTATCTATTTCCGGTTCAATACAAACGAAATAAATGAACCCCATTTGTTATTTATAACTTGTGACATAAATATTTTATTCAATTACAAAAACTGCAATTTGACAATTGTTGTTATCCTGGAGACATCTCTTAAGTACCCACCTAGTTTCAACAATATTTTAAGCGACGGTATTACCTCTAGATACTGATTATAAATAAAATTCCACATTAAAAAACAGCACCCCCAGTGATATGTTAAAAAAAAAATGGTTCATAAATATTATAAGTAGCATGCAACTATAGATTTTTCTTTTTCCAGGAAAATAGAAGAATTATAGGTATGTTTTTTGGTATTTAGTGCAGCGAAAAAATATCTAATAGCATGCTGAATTTTATTAGGAATTAAATTTTTTTTTATTGTTGATTTTCGCTGCTATGTCAACAAAGTGTAACGGTTAGAAAAATAAGTGTACCTAGCCCAAAAAACATACCTATGTTAACAGTACAAGTAAATTTATCTGCGATATGAAATTACTTCATGACTTCTTATTATATAAGGCAATATATTGTGTGACGTGTGATATATATTTTATTATATAGGTAATGATAAGGTTAAGAGATTTAAATAACTACTAAGTCTATATTTCCTTATGTGAGTACCTAATAGAAAATAAAAAAATTATAACTTTTAATCTCACTCAAACCTTTCACAGTATTTATTACATTATTTAATCATATTATGGTAAGTCACGTATAGTTGTAGATTCGGATCGGGAAAAAAATAAAGTATCGATGTTTTACTATACTTTCATTTTACGGGGTTTTTGGGATTGTAAAAACAAGTAGTTTTAGTTAATTATGAAGAGAGGGGTTTATTGAGCTATGTATCTATATGATTTGGAATAGCTAAATCAAGTGAACCTATAAGACTTTTAATGAAGTTGTAATTTTTCAATTTTTTCAATAATTTATCAAAGAGTTAGAAAAACTACCAAAAATTGGTTCAAAATATTTTATCGAGCTCTTGCATTTTATGCAAGCTCTTTTTTTGTGATTTAAAAATATATTATTCGGGGTACCTACTAGAAATTTTTAGAGTATATTACTATATTTTATATACACAATAACTTTTCGAATGCAATTTTATTGACAGTAAACCTACTCGAGTACCTACTAATGCTTAAAAGTAAAATAAATTACTTTAATCCCAATAACATCATCAAATACCTTAACTAAATTCATCTTCGCTCAGAATCGTTCTTCGTACCTATACAATGATTTTATATCATAGAATTCAAATCTAATAACATCCATTACAGTGACCCATTTGCAACCTACTGCGATCAGAATAATTTGATATTCTGAACCCGTAAACGTTTTGCGGGAATATTGCGCCTTTGTTGGCAATTGTATGAAACGAGTGTTAACTGTTAAAATAATTGAAATGTATAGTTTATCTTACGATGCTCATGAATATTAATATATTATAAGCATTGATCATAGTTATTTGAATTATGTAATACAATAACAACATTCATTTTTACGTGTGACGTAGATAATAACAATGTTAAAATAGTTTTATTAATAAACAAACAATTGTTTACCTGTTAGATTTTAATACCTATTCCATAATAGTTAATTTTCTTTAATTCATACATCAATTTAATGTGGTAATTTTCAGTAAGTAAAAATGTACAATAGTATAATCTGTTATGTAATTACAATTATTATTATGTGTTAATT